AACTTTAAATCGGGAATGATCTGTATACAATACACTAAAAACGAACTATATAGGGATCTTGAAAATCCCAAATCACTATTAAATCAATTTTAAGTGGAATCATAATAAAATTATTAAAAGATGGTTTGATACCTGCAATTTGTTCAGGTTGAGCCGGATTTGCTGCACTATACAGTAATTGAGATTTTTTTTTTAAATCGCATCCTCTAGATGCGGCGCTACAATTTCTTTTCTTTGTATTTATTTTGTAACAGATATACAAATTGGAAACAAAGCTAGGTACTCAGGAGGGTAGAAGTGTGGAAACCTGTATAAAAAAAAGAAACAAAAATGTTAGCTACATTTAACAAAAAATAAAATTGACAAGAAATACTCAAGTCTATCAACAACTTTTTTACAAAAAACGTTGTGAATGTACCGAGTCACAAGACAGGAGAAAATTAGAATTAAACCCTTTAGTGAGGGGCTATCCCTATAAATAAAAAGATGACAGAGTAGATAGATAGATGCAGGTGGTTCTGACATGTTCATTGAAAAGGAGGTGGTGACGGAATAATTAGGAAGATATACCAATTAAAAACATGGGGGTACTGTTAGAAATAGAAATACTTTATTCTCAGTAATGTTGAAGCAATATGACAATCATCTACATTTAGTTTTATTTATATATATACTTTGAGTTAGTTGTTGTCACTGAATAAATATAGTTGTCAATAAAAAGTAATTCAGGAAGGTACATCTTTTATTCTGCCATTAAGGATAACTAGGCTGCTGTAATAACAAGAAAGAAGTAATGTTCTAACAGGTTATGGGCCCAGTGCAGTAAAAATAAAATAGTGTATTAAAATTAAAAAAATTAAAGTAAAATACACTAGAAGGTAAAATGGCAGATTCAACAAGATTCACAATTATAAAACTTGATGGATCAAACTACCAGATTTGGAAGTTTAAGATGGAACTCGTATTAATTAAAGAATATTTGTGAGATGTTATATCGGTGGATAAACCTACCCCTGTTACTGCAGAGTGATCTAAACGAGACAGTAAAGCCAGAGCTACAATTGGACTTTTTCTAATTCACATAAGAAATGCTAAGTCTGCAAAAGAAGCCTGGGATTCTTTAAAATTATGTTACGAAAAATCTACACTTTCTGGTAAAGTGTACCTACTTAAAAGATTATGCAGGCAGCAGCTAGCAGAAGGTGGACATGGAAGAACATCTTTCAATAATGTTAGATTTGGTAAACCAATTAAACACACTTGGGGAAGAAATTGGAGGAAATCTCATTGTTGCATTTTTGCTGAGCAGTCTACCAGATAGCTACAGTTCAATGGTCACAGCTCTAGAAAGTCGGCGAGAGGAAGATCTAACATTGGAAATAGTCAAAGAAAAATCACAAGAGTACAGAAGAAGAAAAGAAAATTCACAACTAAAAATTGATGAGAATAACGTTTTAAAGGTGGAAAGTAAAAGTAAATGGAAAAGTAAACCAAAATTAAAATGTTACTATTGCAATAAAGAGGGCCACCTCAAAAAGGATTATTATTTCTATAAGAAAAAGTTTCAAAAAAAGGGTTATAATGCAAACAATGTTCGTGAAAATGATATTAGTGAAGAAAATGCAGGTGCAAGTGAAGACAATTATATATGCTTTAATACAATGAACACCAATAACATTAAAAATGAATCATGTTACATGGATTCTGGCTGTACAAGTCACATGACTCCCAATAAAAATTTCCTTATAGCAATAAGTAAAAGTATTCAAAGCAAAGTTTATTTAGCTGATGGAAAAAAGTTACATGTACAAGGTATTGGTGAAGGAGTTTTGGAATTATTAGTAGAAAGTAAAGTTTTAAAATTGCCAACAACTGATGTTTTATATGTGCCCGATTTAGAAAACAGTCTACTATCAGTAAGAAAATTGGAAAAGAACGGGTTTAAAATAAATTTTTCTTCTGGTATATGTAAAGTAAGAAGAAACAATAAAACGCAGCTGCTATTTTAGAAAATAATTTATATAAGATGCAAAGTGCTGAGAAAATAAATTCTGTATGGGATAATACAACAAACGCATTGATACATTTGTGGCACAAAAGATTTGGTTATCGGGATCCAGTCATTGTGAAAAAGATGTTTCAAAATTAAATTCTGGATAAAAAATTAAATAATTATAATGAAATTTTAACATATGATTGTTGTTTGCGTGGAAAAATATCAAGATTACCATTTCCTAAGAACTCTACCACCAAAACTTTTATTATTTTAGAAATTGTACATACAGATATAATTGGACCCATGCAAACTATCACTCCAGACAACAAGAGGTATATTTTAACAATAATGGATGATTTTAGCTCTTATTCTGAAGTATATTTACTGGAGAAGAAAAGTGAAGTTTATAATGTTAGACAAAATGAAAATCAATTAAACCTAAAACCAAAAATAATAAGAACTGATAGGGGCGGTGAGTTTGTAAATAAGGAACTTAATGATTTTCTAAAGAACGAGGGAATAAAATTACAACTTTCAGCTCCGTATTCACCTCAACAGAACGGCAAAATAGAAAGAAAGAACCGTTATCTAGCAGAAATAGCAAGATGTATGCTACTAGATGCAAAGATAGATGAAAAGTATTGGGGTGAAGCTGTTTCTACAGCTAATTATTTACAAAATAGACTACCTACTAAAAGAGGTGATATAAAATGTCCATACGAATTGTGGTTTGGTAAACATCCATCTCTTAACCATATAAGAACTTTCGGAAGCATTGCATATGCACACATACCAGATGAAAGAAGAAAGTTAGATGATAAATCAAAGAAATGTATTTTAGTTGGATATGCAGAAGAATCTAAAGCTTATAGGTTATTAGATATGAGCAACAATAAAATAATTATTAGGTAGAGATGTACATTTTGTTGAAAATGTTCATAATAAAGATGTATATATTTAGTCCATTTAAAATAACTGTAAAAGGTCGAGAAACGCCGCACTTGACGAGACCACTTGTCCCCTACGTATTTTGGGGCGCTGATTACGAAAATGAGGGTTAAAACTGGCAGCAATGGTTGGAACGCCCCTAAAAAGGGGTGTTTTTCGACTGTACTTGTTGTTTTGCAAACTAACTCATCTCATATGTTTTTTGGGGCGCTGATTTCGAAAATCGGGGTATCGGGACTGAAAAATTTGTGTGACACCCCCCACATGCCAGAAACGCCCTTCCCAAAGGGTGCATTTTCAGAAAAAATGGCCAGTCACGGTGTTTCGCGAACTAATGCATCTCATATGTTTTTTTGGATCGCTGATTTCGAAAATCGGAGTGTCGAGACTGGAAAATTTGTGTGACACCTCCCACATGCCAGAAACACCCCTCCCAACCGGTGGATTTTGGTAAAAAATGAAATATAAAATACAAAAACTAAAAATGGAATATATTTTTATTAATAGATATGAAATATGACTAAAGACTAAAAAAATACGAGTATCAGAAAGATCTTGATACTTTTTGTTCAAAAATTAAAATTAATTTGGAGTGTGCTGGACAGCGACCCAAAAACATATAAGATGACTGGTCATTTTTTCCGAAAATTCACCCCTTGGGAGGGGTGTTTCTGACACAAATTTTCCAGTCTCGACACACCGATTTTCGAAATCAGCGACCCAAAAAACAAATGAGATGAGTTATTTTGCAAAATTACAAGTACAGTCGAAAAACACCCCTACCTAGGGGTGTTTTTTGCAATTTTAGGGGTGGTTCAACCCCGATTTTCGTAATCAGCGCCCCAAAAAACATATGAGATGAGTTAGTTTGCAAAACAACAAGTACAGTCGAAAAACACCCATATTTAGGTGTGTTTTTTGCAATTTTAGGGGTGTTCCAACCATTGCTGCCAGTTTTAACCCTCATTTTCGTAATCAGCGCCCCAAAATACGTAGGGGACAAGTGGTTTCGTCAAGTGCGGCGTTTCTCGACCTTTTACCGTTATTTTAAATGGTCTAATTTTAGAAAGTTATAAAGACGAAGGAGCTAAAACCAAAAATTCAAATGAATTAGAGTTTTTCATGGACAATTCTATAGAAGACAAAGAAATTTTAGAAAGTGGAAATTGTTCAGAAATGGATGGTGATAAGTTGGTTTTAGAAGAATCACCAGAAACTGATTCAATCGATTCAATAGCTGAAAAGGAAGGTAACGAGATAAAAAGATCACAAGGAATAAGGAAGAGAAAACCACCAGAACGGTATACAAATATGTTAGTATCAAACACGAATAGTATAGAACCAATGCCGCGTTTGAAAATCCACATCGGATGCATTTTTTACATCTCGTGCGTTTTTTATCCACATCGGACACATTATCTACATCTGCGTTTGTTTATACCAGATGTACCTGTTCAGATTACATTTTTTTACATCTCAATTTGAAATGAGATGTGAATGAGATGTTCGTTCCATGCCAGAAAGTAAGTGTTCTGTGAAGCATTGTTTGTCAATTTATTCTTTGTTTATGCTAGCATGAATATAAAAATGATTAGTTTGTTTAATTTTTGTTTATATTTCAAATTTAGGTTGATTTGTAGTCTCAAAAGTAAAATTTAATAAGTATAAACTTCTAACTTGTCATTGACATTTTATCACGTGACCAAATAAAGTCTAGAGCGTTTGTTCATTACATCTACATTCAGATCTAATTCTCTATCACGTGATAAAAAATTCACAACATCTCAGATGCATCCGATGTGGATTCTCAAACGCGGCACAAGAAGTTACAAAGATGTTATGAATAGGAGTGACAAGATAAAGAGACAATTTTTCCTAGGCAAGATTTAATTTTGTCTATTAGAGGGTTAAAGTAACCAGGGTTGATTCTTGGCTTATATGAATTACTGACATTTTCCTATAAATAGGAAATTCCGCAAATTTACCAGCAAGCAAGGAAAATTGCGAACTGAAGAGGATCTGAAATAAATTAAAATAAATAAAGTTTCAAGTACCTTCAATTGTCATAATCTTCATCAATATATAAATTATTTTCAGTGGAATTCTGATTGAAGCGGGCGATGGGTATCAAGGGAGGCGGCACGTTATCACTAGGATGTCCTCTAGACGGTAAACCACTCGAAGATCTGCCAGTAGGTATGAGTTGAGGAATCGGGGGTAGCAGCTCCTCGGACGCTATGGTAATGTGCAATTTCGGTTCGTCGGGCTTTAACAAATTATTTACGGAAAAACTCATCTTATTCTCGGCGCTAACCTTCGGTACGTACTGGATAACCGGCGTTCTGCTGGTACTGCTCGACGAGGAAGGGAGAGGGCATTGTTCGCTGAAGGCTACGTTCGGGGGAGGCGGTGATGGATACACGTCCGTGTGCGGGGGATGCTTCTCCTTCTCGTGGACGCTTCGCCTGGACGATTTCGATTTGCTTCGTGGCGCCGGCTGCTTCACCGGCGCCTCCTCTTCCTCGTCTTCCTCCATTTTCCCCGTATCTTCCTCGGTTTTGGTGGAAACTTCTTCGAATAGGGCGTTGTTCTCGTTATCTTCCTGCACGCTGGCGTCTGGTATGTTTTTAACTAAGTCTTTTAAGAAGTCGAAACGGCTCTCTGACAGTATGCACTGCTTCATGTGGGACGGAGTCAAAGTTTTGGCGTTTCTCGCTTGTGTTATTTGCATCGATTTGGTTAATAACGATTCCACAAACAATTCCAATGTTCTAGGTGTATATTCGTTAAGGAAAATAAGGGTTTTATACAAAATTCTTAAAAAATAAAACCACATTTGTAAAATACAGTTAGATTCCGTATCGATATAATTTAAAACAGGAACATTTCCTGATAGACTAAAAGCAAGCAAGATAGTTCCAGTCCAAAAAATTGCAAACGATACAAATGCATCCAACTTGCAACCTATAAATATACTTTCTGAAAAATTATTAGAAACCGTAGTTCGTGACCAAATATTAGAATACTTTAATAACAATGGTTTGTTTGTGGGAAATCAGTCAGGATTTAGGGAAGGCCATTCATGTGAAACGTCTTTACAGTTAACTATATCTAAATGGAAGCAAGTACTTGATGAAAATAAATATATAATAGCAGTTTTTCTAGATTTTAAACAAGCTTTTGAGACAATAGATCGTACAATTTTGATTAATAAATTGAAATATTATGGTTTTGCAGGACGAGTCCTGATCTGGTTTGAACAGTATATGACAATATATAAAGCTAGGTAAATCAATATCTGAAATGCTAAAAAATAACTTAGGAGTACCGCAAGGAAGTATATTAGGGCCGCTTCTATCTATATATATAAAATTGTTTGTCCTGACTGACTGACCTATCAATCTACAGCCAAAACTACTAAGCCTAGAAAGCTAAAATTTGGAACATAGGTTTATTTTATAACGCAAGCATCCGCTAAGTAAGGATATTTCAAAATTTTAACTTTAAAGGGGGAAAATTGGAGGAAATGGGGGAAGGGAGCTTTTAATGAAACTCTTTGTTATTTCAAGTTAAAAACATGAAAATTTAAACTACAGCTACTAAGCATAAATAAATAATGACGTGTTTCAGGGTTTTTCGATTTTCACATTTTAAGGGGGGAAAACGGGGGGGTCAAAGTTTGTATGGGACTATTGATTTTTTTTGTTCTCTTTGAAGTTAGAAACATGAAAATTGGAATTGCAGCTACTGACTACAAATTATTAATGACGTGTTTCAGGGTTTTTTGGATTTTCACATTTTAAGGGGGGAAATAGGGGGTGAAAATTTATTTGGGAGTATCTGTTTTCGGTTCTCTTTAAAGTTAGATACATGAAAATTGGAATTGCAGCTAATGAATACAAATTAATAATGACGTGTTTTAGGGATTTTGGATTTTCACATTTTAAGGGGGTAAATGGGGGTAAAAGTTTATTTGGAGATATTGATTTTTTAAATGTAGGAACTTGAAAATTGGAATTGTAGGTAGGTTCTCATCATAAATAAATAATGAAGTGTTTCAGGATTTTTGCATTTTAACATTTTAAGGGGGAAAATGGGGGAAAAAATTTGTTTAATAGTATGTATATATTTTTTTGATATTTAAAGTTTGAAACATAAAAATTTGAATTACAGCTACTGATTAAAAATAAAAAATTATGTGTTTCATGATTTTTGGATTTTCACATTTTAAGGGGGGAAAACAGGGTTAAAAATTTGTATAGAAGTATAAATTTTTTGAACGTTGGAACTTGAAAATTATAATTGTAGCATAAATAAATAATGTCGTGCTTTGTGGTTAGATTTTTGTAGGGTAGAATCATACAAATAAAATAAAATTAAAAAAAAATAATTATTAAAAATTAATAAAAATTAATAAAATTAATAAAAATTATTAAAAATTATTAAAAATTATTAAAAATTATTAAAAATTATTAAAAATTAATAAAATTAATAAAAATTATTAAAAATTAATAAAAATTAACAAAAATTAACAAAAATTAACAAAAATTAATAAAAATTAATAAAAATTAATAAAAATTAATAAAAATTAATAAAAAGTAATAAAAAATAAAAAAAAATAATAAAAATTAGTAAAAAATAATATAAATAAATAAAAACGAATAAAAATGAATAAAAATAAATGAAATTAATAAAACAGGAAGTCACGGACTACATGCGAGCAAAGTCGCGGGCAACAGCTAGTTTATCATATATTTAAGTGACATATTAATTATATTGAGTGTGACTTTATAATATATTTGCAGATGATACACTGGTAGCATGTTATGGGTATAACCTTGAAGAAGTTTTAAATAAACTGAATAATATATTGAGAGTCTTAACCCAGTTTTTAAATAAAAATAAACTTAATACTAAAAAAACGAAAGCAATGATTTTGAGAAGTAAATTTAAATTAAATCAAATAAACTATAATAGATACATTAGAATTGAAAACGAGAATTTTGAATGGGTTAATGAATTTAAATACTTAGGATTTATTTTAGATGAAAATCTATTATTGAAACCTCACTGCGAATATGTAAAAAAAATCAAAAAATCTATTTTTCTTCTCAAGGATTGCTTCAAATCTCTCCCTTTTTTCTAGATTAACAGGTGTATAAAACTATTATACAAAAATTGCAAAATAGAGGAATGAGAATAATCCTTCGATGTAACAGATACACAGCAATAAATGGTATGCTGACCACTTTAAGTTGGATTTCAGTTAGACAAAAATTTTGTTATTTAGCAATGACTTTTGTTTATAAAGCAAAAAATAAAAAACTTCCTGAGTACTTCAATGATTTTATCATCTACAACAGTGTTTTTCAACCTGTGGGGCGCGACCCCCTGGGGGTCGCGTACCTTCTGTAGGGGGGTCGGCAGAGGTCGAGAGAACTTCAGTAAAAAATCAATATTTTTAATCTTTATTAAGTAAGAAAATTTTAACAAAAGGATATACTCATAAACATTTGTATGTTAATACAAACAAATTAACAAAAAATAAAATCCTGCGAAGATTGTGCTTGTTTTTGATTAATCAATTTCTCCTATCGTGGATCTGTATTTGCTACACATAGAATTAAATCGTTTTCCAAATTTAAGCGATTTCTATGCTTACTTTTTATTTGGGCCATTGATGAAAATGTCAACTCGCATAAGTACGAGGTGGCAAATGGAATCAAACACTTCAAAACCTCAGTTGTCAATTCCGGGTATTCTGTTTTTCTTCTTAACCAAAAGGTAAATTAACAGACTTGAATTCCAAGTGTAACATCCCATCGGCAGATAATTTTATCAGATTCTCTTTGAGCCTAGTTGTAAAATTAACCTCATTTATAGCTTCATTTAAAAACGGATTTAAAATCCACCTCTGCCCAGTGTTCTCCGATGTCTCTTGCACTGAGAAGTAATGACACAATTCTTCTTTCAAATTATCTAACACCATTTTCATACCAGGTATATTTGCCTTGATGTTTATCTCACATCCGATTTCTTCAGTAAAAGATTGTGTCGACGAAAATGAATCGAAGTTATTTTGATTTATAGACGACGACCACAAGTCATTTTTTTTTTTGTAAAGCCATGTATTTTGTCTTTTGCCATAATGACATTTTCATCTGGCCCTTGAAGACTTTTATTCAAGATATTTAAATGTTCAAATAAGTCAGAAAGAAAAGTTAATTTCAAAAGAAATTCCGGGTCGCAAATGAATTCAGAGTATTCTGACTTGGCCTACTGTAAATATATTAAAAGTTCAGCACGAAGTTCCATAACTCTGGTCAGTACTTTGCCTTTTAACAACCACCTAACCTCTGTATGGTAAAGTAAATGTTGGTGGAGTGCCCCCATATCTTCACAAATAATCCGAAACAATCGTGTCTGCAACGCTTTTCCTTTAATAGAATTTACAATCTTTATAATAATATTTAGAACTTGTCTGTATTCCTGTGGGAAGGTTTTGGTTTTGGAGAAAACAATGCACCCAACAAGCGTTTGGTATCTGTTCTTTCAGCCTAGCAATAAATTCACTCTTCGCACCAGTCATCGCTTTTGCTCCGTCACTGCAAATAGCAATGCATTTATTTGCCGAATCGATATTCATATCTTGCGTAGCTTCAAGGAATATGTTATGCAAGCACTGACCTGTACTATTTGTTGGAAGCGCTCTGCAAAATAGAATTTCTTCCATTAATTTTTCACTGGATTCAAAACGCACAAAAGCTACAAATTGCGCTAAATCCGCAATATCCGTGGATTCGTCAAATTGCATAGATACAAAAGTACTTTCCTTTATTTTTTCTGTGACTTGATCACGAACGTCTGTGGCCATATCACTTACATACATGATAAAAAAGCGAAGGGTCGGGGGGTGGTAAATTATTTTTTATATCAGGGGGGTCACATGATGAAAAAGGTTGAAAAACGCTGATCTACAATAATGAAATACATAACTACAATACAAGACCTGTTAATAATTTTTATATTCCACAAACAAGACTAGCTATAGCAACAAAATCTATTTTATATGTGGATTGCGTAAATTTAATGCTTTGCCTAGTGAAATTAAAACGAATAACTCTCTACCTCAGTTTAAAAAAATGTTAATACAATTTATTTCCAGTCGGTAAATTAAATTAACTAAATTAACTTTGTAACTTTGTATGTTTACTTTTATATGTATTTATTTTATTTTAACTTTAGTCTTACTTTTATTACTGATTTTATTACTAATTCTATCAAGATTTTATTTTATTTATTCAACTGAATTTGTGTAGACTGACGATAATATGTAATATTTTTAAAAAAACTACTATGTATTAGGACTTCCTATATTAAATAAAGATTCTATTCTTCTATAAATCTAAGACGAAGGGATATTATTTATACCCCACTCATAATAAAGAATTGTTTAAAAGATCTCCGTCTTATCAAATAATATCTTATGAAAATCTGCTGGTTGTACCATTTTATAGTGTATCCATAGTAAGCTTCAGAAATACTTAAAAAAATGGTTATTAGCAGAACAAAACTAGTCTCTAATACTACCTAAATAATTAATAGGCAATATTGAGTATACATATTCAATTGTGATATGATTTTTTATGTATTATTAAAATATAATTACGATTTTGTTTGTTTTTCAATGGCAGTATAGAAGAATCTGTTTTTGAATCTAATACTGTACCATTTATTTACCACTATTTATTTCTGTAAAACATATCTGTAATCAA